TTTTTCAACCATATCACTTCCTCGTTCCTTCAATTCTCCACAAAATGAAATGCTGGCCAAGTTTCTACGACCTTGTGTCAAAAAATGTCGTAGAAAATACCATACAGATCGTAAACGGGATTCAAGCAAATAAATTTATATTCGTAATGTTAAAGGTCGTCCAAGATCGTAGAAACTTGGCCAACATCTCATTTTGTGGAGAATTGAAGGAACTATCCAGTGATATGGTTGGAAAACTTCTGAAAGAAACTTTAAGATCCCTAGGTTTTCTAGAAACCGAGTTTTTCAGAAATCTCGGTCTCAGGACTCCGAGGTGTAGCATAAACAAACAACGTAGCCAAACGTGTACTAATTTAATGCGATATATCAATAGATAGAATTTCTCACGGGCTATAAAACTGTGTTTTTAAAATATTTAAGTACAAATTAAGTACAAACTTACAGCTGCCTAAGTAGTCAATTTCACCAAAAAATCTTGCCTTCCGAGCAAGAAATAAGAGTCAGTTTCTAGGAAATAATGTCTCTTATCTCGGTAACGGAAAAGACCTGAGCCTCTCACAGGCGGTATCTGGCGCGCTTTCGAAACTATGTGGAACGGCATGGTACAAAGAAGCAAAAAGTAGACGATATCGAGACATTTGTATAAGAGAGATTTGAAGCAGTTTGCGAAAGTTGTCTTCCTGTGCACGACCTCGATCTGAAACGTTGGGCTCTACAGAGAGCACAAGAACAATCACTTCATGAATTTTCAGCTCCCAAACATTGGATCACTACCTTCAAACATCGTCACGGTGTTGTCTCTCGGAAAATTACTAAGTTTGGCACAAAGTATGCCTTAGATGATGCCGATGAGCTTGAGCAGCTGGCTACTCGATTCGTCGACAAGCGAAAGTCGATATGCAGCACTACAGTCCTGGCGAAATTATGAATACTGATCAAGTTGGGTTAGAAAAGGAATTGCATTCAACTCGCACATTGAGCTATTAGGGTGAAAAACTGACAGTGTCCGCTGTAAAATCTCAAAATGTAATTACTCACTCTTACACTCTACAACCAACGATAAATCTAGCCGGTGAAGTAGTAGGACCTATTTATTTATGTCTCAAGGAGCCTACGGGGCGGATAAGCGAAAGTGAGTTTGCTTATATTCATTTCTAATTCTCTGAATGATACTCTGCTAGATGTTCAAGCCAAATGTTCCAACCCAGAAATATTGTCATCACGTGTAGCAAGTCCGGTAAACTGATTACATCACTTGTTCATTATTGGAGAGACAAACTTCTGGCTCCTGTTGCTCACAAAAAGTGTTTTCTTCTTTCGGACGAAAGAATGCAAAAATCTCTAACCCCTCACTCTCACACTCATTCGATAGTCAATGAAATTCTACATCGAATAGGGAAAACTTTTTAAGTAAAGCATCGTCTCCAAGCTCATCCTCACCTTCCGTAACACAGAAAGTGGGATCATTTTCTTCCTGTGCTTCGATATCACAATGTTCGTCCTCGTGTGCATCGTCGAACAGATCGTTGTAGTCTCATCTTCTACTTCGTACGACGAACTGCTTTTAACGTTATCGAGTATTTGATACAAGTGATCAACAAGTTGTTGCTCACGAAGACTCCTTGAAGGACGGTAAGAATCGTTTTTCGCAACACGATCGGCAACATGGTTGTTACAGACACAGCGTTTATCATTTCGCTTTCGAAATAGTACACAAACAATGTACCATGTATCTGTACAATGTATGTGTATGTAATGTGTAGTAGACAATGAAATTCTACATCGATTAGACTACTTTAGAGATTTTTGCCATATGACATGACTAAACAGGAGATCAAAAATACTTTAACGCATTTTCACAATAATCGATAAATAACAAGATTTTGAGCTTTTTCAAGATTTCTTCACACAGAACAGATATTGAAAATATCTTCATTCGATAGACAATAAAATTCTACAGCGAATAGACTATTTTAGAGATTTTTGCCATACTTGTTGAAAGATGCAGTCGCTACCGACAAACTTGATGGCCCTATTTTAGTGCAACGGGAAGCACTTTCTCGATGTAACCAGTATCGTCGACTGTTCCTTCAGCCAGGATTACCAAGGGCGTTATACCTTTGGAACAGGGAACCAATCAAACCATCACTTCTGTGGGAACTTTCTTTTTTGCTGAACGCTACTTTTTTCATGGGCATTAGCACGACGGACTGCCCTTATTCGATTATTCTGGGAGTTACAGAGTGAGCCAAAAGTCTTGGTACTGGATAGAAAAATTTTGTTTTCTCCCTCATCACAACCAACAAAAAGGCTGAAAATTGGCCAGAGAGTTAGCCTATCTAGGAGGAGTATCAGTCTAATTTTTCGGCTCTATAGGTCACGTTGCAATAAAGATACGTAGTTTTCAATCTAAACGAGATTTGATTTCATATGACGTGGTCATCTGTTGGCAGATGAAATCTCCTCAATAATTAATCTTTGTCACAGAAACTCGAGTAGTATTGAGCCGATCCACTTCAAGCACACGTCTAATGTGATAATCTGCAAGATCGTTACGAGGTGTTTTTCAACATCGCTAGATCTTTGAATTCTCTCCCTTCTAACTGCTCTCTGATACAACTCCAGACGTTCTTCAATGGGTCACTCATCAAACATTTTGCTGGCTTGGTCTTCGGCTTCAATACGTTCAGGGAAAAGTTCACTGATTCTATGCAGGATACATCCAGAACGGTGCTTCGAATCTGCGTCATCTTGCCAGATAATATCAATTCCATCATACAAACTATCGATATACGGTTTAAATTGCTTTTGGCTTAGTTTGATGCATCAGAATCTATCCATTGCGCTTCTTTCGTGCCTTTTTGTTTCCTATGGATGTTGGAAGCATCACGTGATCATATTCGATCACTTCATGCAAAATTAAATCTTGTTTAGATTAAAAACTACGTATCTTTGTTCGAACGTGAGCTATAGAGCCGACAAATTAGACTAACACTCCTTCTAGATAGGTTAACTATCGGGCCAATTTTCAGCCTTTTTTGTTGGTTGTGATGAGAGAGAAAACAAAATTTTTCTATCCAGTACCAAGACGTTTGGCTTGCCATTTATCTATGAAACAAGATGCAAAATAGAGCCTTCACGCGAACGAGTTTTTCTCCAATACAGTTCAATGCTTGAATGACAATATGACAGTGGGCAATCACATGGAAATTAGGTGAAAAAACGAAAGCTACTTTTTTAATGATTTAAATAGCGTTTTAAATACACTAGCCAATGGCCAATTTAATGTTGAAAAATATTTGATCCAAATGCTTTAAGTGGTCGAGATGGGTAAGTCCCAATTTTTTGCAATCTTTACTACAACTCGACGAAAATCGTTTTCTCTTGTCAAATAGGCAGTCACTTAAAAATTGTAACATATATATTCTGAAAGCTGCGCACTTGGGCTATTGATTCATAAAAAATTTTTGTCCGAACGGGTTTGCGAAAGGGAAACAACATGATTTTTATCTGCACGAGATGTCGTTCGAAAACATGCGTCCAGTAAAGTGGGCACGCCATCCACATCCAAGCTCTGTTTTCAATGAAACTTTCAGCAATTGTTCCTCTGTATGTGGCACGTCTAGATGGAATGCCCAAACTCGCCCAAACATTTCTGGGCGAAGTTGTAGATTTTACAAACACTCTGGTTTTTTATCGTTTTCTCACGTTTTTCTTGGTAAAAAAGCATCCTAGCTAAAAGATAAGGACATATTCGGAATCAGCGTCAAAAACTGCATCTAATGATGTGTCCTTTTACCGCTTTCAAGGTATGTATGCTGAATTTTTCTGAAAATAGATTTTCCAAGATTTTTCTCTAAAGTTAAAGCTACTGTTTTTTGCAGGGCATCTTGAAAATTGTGAAAACCAGTTTTCTATAGGTTTTCGGCCATAACGAATCTAATGGCGCTGTTGAAAAAATTTCAAAGTGATTTTTTGAAGGTTTCCAACGGACTGGATCTCTGGAAAACCATCACAAAACCAGATTTTAGCTGGGATACGGATGCCATAAGATAGAGCGCACACGAAAACCTATTAAAAACAGATTTTTCGGTTCAACGAATCGCTCTGAAACAAATTTCCACGTGCCTATTGAAAATTGCCTACTGTGAATATAAACACGAGAAATGCACAAAAAGTCGTAGAGATCATTTGATCCAGTTATCCTTATCGATGCGACATCAAACCACCTTGATCGTACAGTGTATGGTATTTTCCTCGGATATTGACGATCACTGTGAAAGATTGATCGCCAGCCAATGATCGATAGTAGAAATGATCAGTATCAGGTTCGAAACCATAGTGTGTGTTACTCCAAAAATCAGTATCAGGATCAGTGTGAACATAAACTGTAGTTTCATTAGAAGATCATACCGTCGGTTGATTAAACCAAGTGAAATTCATCCAAGACAAGAGAGCAGAGATAGTAGCAAGTTTCTTCATTTTTGTCTTTCAAAAAGGATTTAGTTCTCTTCTGCGCTGATTTCATATCTGATAAATGCTACTGTTACGACTGTAAATCTCACAAACATCCTTCAGGCTTCCTGCGCAATAAATTATTGATATCTTTTCTTACTGAATACTGCCAAAGCAAATACTTCAACTCTTTCTGTAAGACAAGGTTGAGTGGTGAGGGTGCGGGGGTGAAGAACAGCCTCTAGCTTCAAGACGGATATTTTCTGATCTCCCAAAGTCTCATTAATGACTATCTGATTCCACATGTTTAAAGCTAAAAAAATTTTAGCTTGTTCCAGTTTCAAGGAAACGAAGCCAAAGGTGATACCATCAAGTAGATAGCCGAGAAAGTTCAATCCTTGCTCAAGGTAGGCTGTGATTAGTATGCTGGAAAACTCAAACCATAATGATCATCGGTATGATGTACAGATGGTTGCCGCTTCTCTTCTCACACTTGAGAGAATCCTTTTATTGATCAGAATTGATTAGTGCACGAAACTGATGTCTCAAATCTGAGCCATGCCTCCATCGACAAACAGTTCAATACCCGTGATATCACTTGAAGCTAGGAAGACGGCTACTTTGGCAATTTCATCAGACATACCAAATCGATTCATGGGTATAGCAGAGAGGAAATCGGCGTTCATTGTTTTTTTCATCTCGTCACTAAATCCGGCTTTGTCCCATGCAGTTGTTGGAATTGCCCCTGGATTGAGGATATCGACTCGAATCTTGCGTTCCTTCAGGTCGACCGTCCAGCAACGGGCAAACGAGCGAACAGCCGCCTTGCTTGCACTCAGAAGACTCGTGGTAGGATAAGCTTTAATGGAGCTAACAGATCCATTTAAGATGATGGATCCACCTTCGCTTATCAATGGTAAGACTTTCTGGACAGTGAACAATACGCCTTTTACGTTGATGTTGAATAGTTCATCAAATTGTTTCTCGGTGATTGAATCCAGCGGCACAAACGTGCCGATACCTGCATTGGCGAAGACGATATCTAAGCGACCCTTTTCCTTCTCGATGATGCTGTGCATCGTGTCGAGATCAGCCATCTTGGACGCATCAGCTCGTATTGCCGTCACTTTCTTCCTATCCATTGTCTTCACGGCTTCGTCAAGCACTTCCTGACGGCGTCCGCACAGTGTGCATCCAGGCGGACATTAGGTGAAAAAATGAAAATCGACTTTTCATTGATTCAAATAGCAACAAATATACTGCGAAACATGCTGTATCTGATGGCATAAAAAGTTTTGTTCTAAAGCTTATGTAGCGTGGAAAATCAGCCAATCAAAAATTAGCCTGAAAACAGCAGTATCTGTAAGAAAATGAAATTTTTACAAAACTGAAGAAACTGGTAATTAAATAAAGTGTAGATTCCGAATCTGCACATAGTTTACTATCAGTTAGTAAAAAAATTCTTAATTTCGACTTGATATTGTTGAGAAAAAAATAAAGGTTTTTCCTAAATGCTTTTTCGAACACCTGTTTTCAGTAAAATGAGCGCTCCCTTCACATTCCAATTTGAAATTCGTTCAAACTTTGACAAAATGTTCTTCTAGCTTCCCTCTATCATCTGTGTCAGCGCAAATTAGCGCAAATGTTTCTGAAGCGTACAGCAGGTTTTCCAAAACACCATGGCTTTTCAGGTGTTTTCCATTTATATCGGCTCATAAACGTTTTTTGTTTACTAACAATGACATATTCAGAATCAGCGCAAGAAACTACATCGAATGATGTGAGATTAGTAGGTTTCTCTGAGCAAAAATTTGTTGGATCTAACGAAACGCTAAAGTCGAAGCATAGCGTGACAATTTGGCTAAGGATTTTGATATTGGCTATAAAAGCAATCCGAAAGCCTACAAACACCTTTTTTATGGTTTTCATATATGCTCTTTCCAATGATGCGCTTTGTTCTGCACCTTCAGCAATGAATCGTTGCGCAGTGACCAAACCCATGCCTTCGGAGCCACCTGTGATGAGAGCAATTTTTCCATCGAGCTTAGACATTTTCTTCGTGTTGTCATAGTAGTCGGAGTTACTATGCAGCGAGTGGCCTTCGACGTGTTTTGTAAAAGAAAGACACCTATCGCGCATTTATGTACAACCATCATGCTGACTAGGCATTTTTCTCGTCCTTCTAAGCGTTTACTCGCATCATGGCGATGTTATGTGTCCTCTCTAGCATGGCTTTATGCGATTCTTCTCGATATAAGAACAGAAAGGAAAAAGTGTGATTGTGTCCATGTGAAAAATAAACGAAACAAACCATCTATGATCACGATTTAAAACAGTTTTTCTTCATTGCAGAAAACACCAACCGAACGAGTTCAAATGCAACGTATCTGTACGTGAGGTTCACCAAACTCAAACTTCGAGCATATTTTTTTAACCCTCATTCGGCTACTTTACGATAGAATTCGACGAGCTCAACATCATTGTTGTCATACGAAAAATTCCCAAGCCCTTGTTTCGTACCGAAATGTCGAAATTACTGATATTCGCCATCGAATGTAGCCGAACTGTTATCAAAATGTTCTGACGAAACGCAGCAGGGCCCTGTCTAACCAGAGGACCAACCCACTAAAAAGTCTCAAAAACCAGCTCAAGTTATAATCGCGTTTTGTTCCTTCTGAGAGCAGGAGACAAAGCTACTTGTCCTTTTCTCTTGGCCTCTGTCCTTCCCTGAGATAAAGATTTTTCCTATCTCCATCAATGTGCATGAGTGAGAGATAAAAGGTTTATCGATATAGTCGCACAAGCACCAGAGAGTATATCTGGAGTGCCTCAGAGTCCATTAACAAAATATGCACAAGAATCTCGAAGCGCTCTCAAGAAGTGTTCAATTGTTTGCCGGCTTGGTGCAAGGACTATCAGCTTCTTATGCCGTAGGTGGGAAGCTCGATAGCATCTGCTGGTGGTGATGAAAAGTATTTACCGAACAAGCGTGCTAATCCAGACTTTGGAAAGAGGCTCAGCACATTGACGAGCACCGAACTGACGAGGGAAGTACCCGAAGTGTCCCATCGATTTAGGGTCCATACTATGCCCACAAGTAGGCCTCAGTGGGACTAGCAAAACCCTAAAAGGATTCGTGCCCATGGTTCTGTGGTGAAAAGTTATGGCCGTGTCATTATTCACACAGAAACGTGTAAGGAGAGGCTGATATTTCATTCTTTTCATAATTCTTCTGATTTGAATAACGGCATTTTTTCTTCTATTATAATACAAATAATTGTCACATGGCAAAAATCATTGTATTAATAGCATTTGTCTTCATAGCTCTTTGTACATTTTTCTGATAATAAACTCTTAGACTGTTCGAAATCTCAAAGACGAAGATGAAAAGTAAGTATTAAAAATACACTATATACAATTTTTAATCTTTACCTTTTATTATCTTTTAAAATTCGGCTTTTCTTAAATAAACTGTAGTTTGAGAAGATGGCAACGTCTGATTTGATATTTCAAACTCTTGTCTTGGGCGGGACAGTAAGGACTCTTGTGGCGCCTCTAGACAGTGACATCGCGACAACCACGGTTTACTACGGCTTACATCATGGCAGTAAGCATGATAGCCACTATAGAAAAAAATTCGATTTTCTTTTATAAACTGAGCTATTCTTTTTAACTTTTCTCGCGTAAAACTTTGTGCAAAAAAATTAAAAATCACTTTTGCATTTATTTCAAAATTCTTCCACTAAACTGCAAAAAGTGCTCCGCTCAGCATATGGTAACCTGAACAACTCTGCTAGCGCAAAATTTTCTTGAAAATGCCTCGTTGTCTTTGAAATGTGCACATACGTTCGTGTACGAGGTAATCAAACAACCGAATTTCCACACAAGAGAGATTTCGCCCAAAATAGGTTTTCACTAGGTTTTTGTCTTTTTCTCGAAAAACAAACATTACCACGACATCCAGTGTGATAGACAACCCATGTTCGTTTTCGACATTGCCATACCTAAGAAAATATTGATCGTGGGGCTTCGCGGAAATCCGACGGCGCGCCTAAACAGCGAAAGATTAAGAGGTCGCTCAATTCGCATTTTATAGAGAATATTTTAGGCTATCATACCTATAGGAAAAATATAGGGATCACTCTGGTAGAACTTGGAACCACGACCTAGTCTTTCAAAGACCAATAAGGTATACCACCTGCAGGTGGTAATAACAATCTTTTTCCAACAGTTTTTGTTTGTTACTCGAAAGTAATACGTGGGTAGGCCTGTCAATCGCGAAAAATAGATTTTGTTAAGAGTTACATCATTCGATTTGGCATGAAAAACTGGAGTGACAAAACTTTTCAAAACCTCATAAGTCCTTTTGCTGGAAAATCAGGTTTTCTCAAGACTTAAGCCTAAAAGACCCGAAAATTGACCAATTTCAGCTTTTTATGTATATACGGCCCGCAGATGATATTTTCTGAGATATTTTTATATCAACTTGTAATTAATTATCTCTTCTATGCAATGCTGAAAACCAAACTGGTATAATTTGAAGACAGGTTTGTGGGTGGCTACCCTCCTCCCCTTAAGCATGCTATAAAACATTTTTTAACAAAACAATTAGGAGCAAGAGCCCTCTCGGCTGTTTTTCAGAGTGATATGCAATCACTTCTAACCAAAAGAAACCCGTTTCCGTGTAAGAAAGTTGCATATCCGCTGTGCGAAAAATTCACATGGATTGATCAAATAAAGTGTCACACATGCAGATAGAAGCCCCACTTTGATTTAGCCACTTCCCAAAGTTTCGCTTTGCTCGCCACCGACAGATTGCAGTTCTGCATCCACAATTGCTTCAGTGATCGGTTGCGTTTTAGCATGTCGACAACAGAATCAACACACGAATCCGTCACCGACTTGTTCGAATTGAGATACAGATGAGCGAGACATGTATCGTAATGAGCGAGTGCATTGACCAACAGTTCAACTCCTAGATCGCCTATACGATTGTCCCCTAGCCCTAGAGCAATCAATGTTCTATTTGTCTTAAGCATTTTAGCCAGATGATGTGCACCTTCATCTGTGATGTCGTTCTCGCCAAGGCCAAGTTTCTTGAGATTTTTATTGTCCTTTAAGAGTGCCTGCGCCAGGGAACGAGCACCTATGTCAGACACACGGTTCTTGAAAAGAATCAGTTCCTGTATTAATGGATTGGCGCATAATGCATTCGCTAGGATCGAGGCACCTTGCGATGTGATCTTATTGTCCCACAAGTCGAGCAAGATACACTGTTTCTTGAAGATTGCCTGGTCGACAACCATCTCCATGTCTGGATCGGTCAATTGCTGATAGATCAGTGATACCATCGAGTAAGGTTGACATTTGTGGATGCATTTTTTCAGTTTCAAATTGCGATAAGTTGAATCAGTTTCCATTGGCGAACGCTTGACCTCAAATGATGTTCTCGTTGATGGTTCGTTCACAGTTTGATTAACAAACGTTGAGACAGATGTACCACTCACGAACACAGAGAGAGAGAGAGAGAGGAAAACCAGCAAAAAGCCGTCCTTCGTCTTCTCAAGATCAGAAAATATCATCTGCGGGCCGTATATACATAAAAAGCTGAAATTGGTCAATTTTCGGGTCTTTTAGGCTTAAGTCTTGGGAAAACCTGATTTTCCAGCA